TCTTTGCTTCTAAGTAAGTATACATAACAATATCTTGTACAATTATCGATAAATGTTATAAAATACTTTTTACCTCCTCTAGTTTGAACAAATTTAAGATCACATGCATCAGTATGAATTAATTCTAGAGGTTTGATTTTTCTTTCAAATCGATTTAAATGGAGCCTTAGTTAGTTTCGCCTCTACACAAATCTCACATTTGTGTTTAGGGTCAATTTCAAACTTTGGTATATAATCCAAACCAATTAATCTACGCCAAGTATCAAAATTCACATGTCTTAATCTACCATGCCATAAATTTGACTCAAGAATATAAGCAAAAGATGTGTTATTCTTATTAATAGTAACTTTTGGTACAACCGTCATTACATTTAATTTGAAGAGACCATCACTCATGTATCCCTTACCAACATACATACCATTCTTTGATAATACAAATTTATCAGACTCAAATACAAGTCTAAAACCATTTTTACTTAACAAAGAGTCAAAAACCAAATTCTTCCAGATGTCAAGTACATGCAGTACGTTGTTGATGGTAAGTTCTTTCCCTGATGTCATCTTCAAGATCACTTTTCCTTGTCCAGCCACAGTAGAAGTAGAAGGATTTCCCATGAAAAGTTGTTCACCATTTGCAGCCTCATTGTAAGTAGTGAACATCTTCTTGTTCGCACAAATATGACGAGTTGCCCTAGTGTCAGCCCACCATTCCTTGGGATTTCCAACCAAATTAACCTCAGACATCACTGCAAAGAGGTTGATGTCATTCACCCACATCAGAGATGTAATCTAATTCTGTCACATTGGCCTGATTGGTGGTCTTCTTGCTTGTACTTCCGCGATCCTTTTTAGGGCGGCGACAGTCAGAAGCTCAACGTCCAGTCTTGCCACAGTTATATCATTTTCCTTTGAACTTCTTGTTGCTATTGTTGTCGCCTTATTTAGGACCATCTCTAGTAAACTTCCTCTTTTTGTTATGTGGTTTATGAACTTGTTCAACCACATTAGCCTTGGACTCAATGGAATTTTTCCCATTCATCTTTTCAGCCTTTCGGTTATCTTCCTCAATTCTTAATCTTACAATCAATTCATCTATGGCCATCTCCTTGCGTTTATATTTTAAATAATTTTTGAAATCTTTCTAAGGCAGTGGTAACTTTTCCACTAAAGCAACGACTTGAAAAGACTCGCTAAGAGACATACTTTCTGAATGAATATCATGCAAAATTATCTGAAAATTTTGAACTTGAGAAATTACCATTTGGGAGTCTACCATAACAAAGTCTAGAAATTTACCGACAACAAATTTTTTCATGCCGGCATCCTCTGTTTTGTATTTCTTTCCTAAAGAATCCCACAGTTCTTTTGCTTACTTCAGAGGGCTGTAAACATTATACAGCATGTTGTCAAGGCCATTGAGGATGTAGTTTCTGCACAGGAAATCTGAATGTTTCCAAGCATCTACAGCGACAAACAACTTGCCGATCACTTTCACCCTCTTTAAGTGCTGGAGCCTCTTCACGGAGAAACCAAGCCAAATTTAGAGTTGTAAGATAAAACAACATTTTCTATGACCATCTCTGAAACTCAGTACCGTTAAATTTTTTCGATTTTTCTCCATGATTTACTGGAACTTGAACATGGTTCTGGATGGGGACTGAAGTTAGTGTTACAATTGGAGTACCACTTCCAGTTGCAGTAGTCATAATATCTGATTACAAAAATCAGAAAAAACCAAAACCCAATTTAATTTTCTAGTTACTAAAACCAAAAAATAAATTATCATACAAAATAATTTTATTTTCCTTGTTACTAAAACTAGAAAAATAAAATACCACAATAATTTTCTGTAACACAAATTAATATTCTGTAATTGTTAATGACACCAGTATATTACTACTAGTTGTCAAAGAAAATAGGTAGTATATTACTACTATCTGTCAAACAGTATATTACTACTATTTGTTTTCTAACCAGAATATTACTTTGTGAAAACACAGAAAATTAAATGCAATGAAGACACCAAAGGACGATTCTATCTTAAGATTGTTGGACAATCTTCACGGTATTTAAAGAAATAAATTCTATTTGTGTACTAAATAACAAATGGAATACAGAAGAAAAATAAGAAAGGAGAGTGAATGTTTGATTACAAAAATCAAACTAGAAATAAAATTAAATAAATAAAAAAAGATTTTATTTTGTTACAAAAACAAAATAAAAATCTGATATAAAAAAAATAAATAAATAAACAGCTTACTTGATTAAATTATTGAACAAAATTCTAATCAAGTCCAGTGTTTGACATTATGTTCTTAAGACAGATTCGTCCTCTCCACGGTACTTTCAGAATATGGACATCTATCTTCCAGGACAAAATAATCAATTAACGAAAAATAGCAGCACTACAAATTTTTTATACAACGAACACACAAAGTGTTTATATTCTTTCTCACAAAAATTTAGATGCAGCAAAATGCAGAGAAAGCATACAATATTTATGGACGGAAAAAATTGAATGAATTATCAAATGAGGGCTGCCTATTTATAGATAGATTGGTGGCTTTTCATTTTGAACTCAACAGGTGTAATACATGTTCGGACAGATAGATCAGGTTTGAATTTCAAACAGATAAAAATGTTTTGGGTTTGAATCTGGACAGATTCGGATCTGTTGGTCAGTGAATCTGTACAAAACAAATTCTGAACCTGCCCGGATGATGGCGTGCATGTGTGGTGGTTTTTGGGTCCAATGGGTCTAGCCCATTTTGCCCATAACCTCCCTCTCTACAAAACTTGATTGCCCCTTGGGGCCTACCCCAAGTTCCAATCACATGCCTTATAAACTCACTCAAAACTTCCCACCAAATCAATGTAGGATAAGCCATTATACAAATCTTAAGAAATTTTCATCAAAACT